GATGGGCGCCATCTTATGTGTCAGAGCGACGTGCGATATATCGCATCGATTACAGATACTTTATTATACCATAATTTCAGCTACTTGTCACTTTTTCCGATTTTCGAGATGGCAATTATATTGTCATGAGACTAATGAATTCATGTACCAAATCTGACGAAGAAATTCAACGTAATAAAGGCAGGGTTTTTTCAGAGGAAAATATAGCATTCGAGTGCCGTTTCGATATCAGTATCGAATGCTATATTTTTCCTCCAAAATAACCCTGCCTTTATTACGTTGAATTTTTTTGTCGAATTTGGTGCGCGAACTCTAAGTCTCATGATGACAGAAGTGCGATCTCAAAATTCGAAAAAAATGACAAGTAGCTGAAATTATGGAACGAGTCGATGCGATATATCGCACGTCGCTCTGACACAAAAAATGGCGTCCGACGAATCACCTTAAGACGCTTGATGGCCGGGGTGCGGGTGAGGATGGGAATTGAGACGGTCCATGGGCTGGAGTCTGGAAGGGGAGTTCCAAGTCCGTTTTTGATTGGCTGTTACTTGCTGAGGTATCTTTTTTTGAATTATATGTATTAATTTACTTTATAAGGCCATTTTAATTTGTTTCGTCCGGGCGATCTCGATGATTTAGCTGGCCACGAAGCGGGCCCGCAGCGCCCCGGGGGTCGGGCTGCGTAGCGGTCAGAGGGCGGCATCACCTAGTTTTAGACTATAACTGTAAATTGTGATGTTTGTTTCGTCACATTTTAATTTTTAAGGGGTGCAGCTAGAAGCGAATATCACGAGGAAACCAATGAAACCACTTTTAGGACCTCAAAGTTTTGTGTAAACGGAGTATAAGCGTCACATTTTAACTCCATTTTCGCATTTTCGCACTCTCGCATTTTATTTTCACATTTTAAGGGGTGCCTCCCAAAGAGACTTTCACGAGGAAACCAATGGAACCACTTCTGGGACATCAAAGTTTTGTATAAACGGAGTATAAGTGTCACATTTTAAATTTTAAGGGGTGCCTCTAGAAGAGAATTTCACGAGATAACCAATGGAACCACTTCTGAGACCTCAAAGTTTCGTATAAACAAAGTATAAGTGTCACATTTTAAATTTTAAGGGGTGCTTCTAGAAGATAATTTCACGAGGAAGCTAATGGAACCACTTCCAGGACCTCAAAGTTTTGTATAAACCGAGTTATAAGCGTTTAAAGTTTCCAAATTTTGTCCAACCTCTCCTGTTGACTCGATCCACTGTGCGGCGTTCAAGTTGAAATTGCTGTTTAATTTTCGGCTGTTTATCATTGTCCAAGAAGCGCGGAAAAATCTGACTGGGAAATTAGCGGCCGGGTTTTTGTTTGACTGCGGGCCTCCGAACCGAACACAAAGTCGCTTAATTGGGGAGGCGGAAAGGTAGGCTAATTACCCTTCCCCTCGTCCCACCCCCTCGCGCCCACCCCCTTCATAGCGTGGGTGCACCGTTCCGAGGTTTTGTCAATCCACCTTGAGCTGAAAATTAGACCAAGTTCTCACCGAACGACACTGCTGCATCGTTGCGTGGTGAAGTTACGGCACCCGTTTCGCCTTCTTGCCGCGTTGCCTTGTCACATGATGAAAAACTTCAGAGTAAACTGTGTCGATGCGTTTTTCCGAGAGTATGAGAATGGAGGGACGAAACGTAACAAAATCTTCACTGGTACAGCGACAAAATCATTCGATATAATATCGAACTCTTATTGTTTCATTAGACCAAAACAATAAACTAACATACACATAAAATACTGAATTGCTGATTTAATAATTAAATTGTTAAAAATGTGTAAGACATGTTTCAAAAGTACATTTTACCTTGACGAAAAGCTAATTTAACCACGGAGGTGGTTAAATTGTAAAATCTACACTGAAAAAAAAGTAGTTAGCGTTGAGAACTAATTTGGTAAGTTCTCGCCAAGTAGAATCAAAATTAGGCTTCAGAACTAATTTATTGTACTGAAGCACCAATCAATTCGCTTCATACGCTGACTTGACTTTACTAGAGCGCGAACCCGAATTGGAAAACAGCACTAGCTGTAAAATTAACGCTGTGGTAAGACAAATTCACCTTCGAATCAAACTAATTCGCCCTCAACACTAACTGCCACATTGTCCGTTACATTTATTTAGTTTCGAAAAAGTGGCGTCGGTACAACAGCCTCAATCGCGTCAGCTCGTGAAAATCAATTAAAATGTGAAATTTCGGGCTCGTTTGACAATGTAAATACTCCCGGTATGATTTATAGTGTCCTCTCTTTCTTGAAAACGTTCGAAAGCAACATAAATAAACCTGTTAAGGTTAGAAATCGTCTGTTCGATTCAAAACGTAAACAAGCATGATATTCGTTGGAGTCGTCAATCTTCTGTATTAAATTGCGATTAAAGCGTTCCGCGTTCAGTTTATATTTTACGAAAATCTGTGAACTTACCGCTTACTTCTATAGTTCGTGTTCTCCCGTCAAAAGAATATCTCAGGTGTTCGGACGAGATATGTTTATTCAGTGTGAACATTCGCTACCGTTTCATGTGTGAGTGTGTGTCTCTCTAAAGGATAATTCTGTCTACTTGCACATGGGATATTCCTTTCCTCTGTCGTTCATTTGGAACCGGTCAGTTGATTTTTACCTCTCATCTTTTAAGAAATCTTCTTTTCCTGAAAGTATTGTCCAGTTATCATTCGCTAAGCCGTTTTCTCCTCTCTCAGTTTTGAGGTTAGGTTGACCCAACCCTACCGAATGCGAATTAGAGTAGCGGAATTAGTTTCCAGCACTAATAGTGGTTAGTGTACAGAAACCAAAAATCATGTGTGTCCAAATCACACAATTTGAGTTAGTGTATAGAAACCATTTTTAGTCATCTGACGCTAACTCATTTTTTTCAGTGTACATTGCAACATGTCGGGCACTTTTTTAACTGCGAAATTGTTAAATGAGCATTATCATTTTTTTCCGTGTATTTGCATGTACCAATACTTTGTGAGTAACGTATGTGTTAATTTGTAACAATTTAGTCATTGACCGGTAATAAATCAACTAACGACTCATTAAACACGATAATGAATTTATGAAGTTCTACCAGAGCCGATGCAACTATTCGTGCGCATCAGTTGTTTGCGTTGCATATTCACAAAAATTGAAGGCGCGGCCGTTTTTTCGTTTGCTTAAAGACTCATTTTCGATTCATGTAACCGTTTATGGAAAAAAGGCCTTCCTTAGTGGATATAGTTCACCCCATTTCAATTTTAATGTTATTCGTTTGCTCCTGTTCACCTCCCAGTCTTCTCCTCTCTCCCCATCTCTCATTTCCTGCTTTCTAAATCAACAAAGGTATGTTTTACATTATTTATAGGTGTGCATTTCAATTGTCTAACAATACAGTCATAATGGGCAGTGGCGTGGCGTGCTTTGCGATATATCGATTGATCTGCCATTTAAACCTATGGAAAAGGATCGATGAACAGGGTGTTTGCAACGAACACCTTAGCAATCGATTCTTTGCCATAGCTTCAAATGGGGAAATATCGATAATCGATCATTCACGCCTCGTCACTGCTGCATTCCAATTGTGAAACTGCAGAAATGTGTCTCCCTGAGATAGAGCCCCCTAGTTTTTTATGAACAGCTCCTGAGGAGAGACCCCATAGGCGATTGTCATTATATGAGTTGGGGAGGGGGGGGGTTGGACTTAGTAATTCTAAAATAAATTGAAAAACCATACAATATATAAAATTAAGAACATTTGAATACAACATTCAAACCGTATATTAAAAGTTTAGCTCTAGGCAGGCTTACATACAATCCGTGAACACTTATTAAATCTATCATTTCATCAATTCTAAGAAATTTGAGCAACTTACAAGTTCAAATACGTCTGTAGCTCTGGTTTTTAGCAAAATTTTAATCTAGTGACATCTATGTGGGTGCCAATATTTCCCGACAAAATGAACTTAAGAACAATACAGAACGTATCATCATGTATACAGTATACACAAAGCACTCGTGTATTAAACATTAAGCTAATCGCAAGTAAAACGAAAATGAACAAACATAATCTTTTAATTCAAACTCAAAGGGTATTTTCATGGTTTCTTTGCAGTAAAAATTGGTTCGTTCCCAAGTTACGGAAACTTGTTGTGCTGTTCGAATCTTTAAAATGTGCGGAAAAGTATAATCTATTAAAATGCAGGATATCAAGTCCATATTAGCAGCAAAATTTACTGCGTAATTACTCCCTTTCTTCCTCGCGCGAATGAATATTTCTCTGACCACGGAGTCAGACTCCAAACATAGTCTCAGGAATGATTTAAAAAAATTATAATGCAAACAAACGCTAAAATTCTAAAGTAAATATTAACAGAGATGTATTTGAAACACATGATATACTACATTTGAGTCACCTACCACTATTCAAGGGCAAATTATGGGCATATTCGAAAAAAGTAGTGCACAGTGCAATGCGCTCAAACTTTGACCATATTTACCCATCAGCTCCACATTGTGGAGGAGAAAAAATAATGATATTCACAAATGTTGTGGATGACGTCATTCACAGTGCATTTTCGGGAGGCGTTATTGCGGATAATGTTGAAGGTGGAAATATTGTCATTTAATGAATCTTAGAGCATTTTACTTTACCATATGATTCAAACGACAGGACATGATATTTTTTATAATTTGAAATGCATACTTTGCATCTACATGAATCGGTTGTTGATGCTATTAAAATAACCAACGCCTAAATGTAGTTGAAATATCACTCAGTCAAATAAAATGGAATTCGGATCCGATGGCTGATCTCAAATGCATTAGTCCGAATTATATAGAACATTATCCTGAATGTAGACGTTACTTACTTCAACGAAAAGAAGGATGCTAACTTAACATTCTGAATGTAAAAAAGTTTGCGACAACTCACAAAACGCTGAGTTAACCGCCACAACAGTTAATGTAGCAATGCCAAGATGTAAAGCCAACTGCTGTGGCGGTTGACATAGCGTTTAGTGAGTTGTCGCACACTTTTTTACATCCAGATTATTAAGTAAGCACCCTTGCTTTTTCGGTGTTTGACCTCATGAGCAGATGATTCTTTGAATAATATAACTGACCTATTCTGCCTAATGAACGTCGTATGAAACTTCAGGCGTTCCCAAATTTCTTTTGCTAAAACACGTATTTCCCCTATTCGATAGATTATTTCGTTTGCGAGTTTCCTAAGGTCCCTTTAGCTTTTCTGCTGCTTCTACCCTTTTCTTGTGTTTGTGGTACATTAATTCAATCTCCTCTGGCCATTTGTCAACCCGCAGTATGACTTTAGCGTCGTCAAGTTTCCCTCTCAACGTGAAGGTCCTACTTATGTAGATCTCGTCCAGCATTTCTGAGGTTACCAGGTTTCTAACAGGGCATCTCTTGCTAAGTCTGTTGTACAGGGGTTGCCACCATCGTCCTCCCGTGACCTGGCCCAGAGCAAGGTACTCCACGTAATGTTTCGCGCTGCAGAAAAAGGGATTGAAGTATAATTTCTGATTTTGCCCCATCATATAAGCGATCAAAACACCCACGAGTCCGATGTGTCCTGGAAAAAAATAGAATAATATAAAATAGCATATCGGCGATGTGAGAGTCGGCAATCATGTAACTTGGTTTGCGACGTCACAGACTTCCGTCATATTTTATTTTTTAAACGGAAGACCACTCAACGGCAATTCTTTAAAACTGGTATCTGCCAAACAGAATTATGTGCATTGAGAAATGAGCCCTGAGACTCATTAGAATATGTGCATAACAGGAATCACGTCATAATGTACGTAGTTCCGTTTGGCAGAAATACGACCAATTTCTCGAGAACCCACCAATATCATATCGCCGAAACTTTGGCAATGCAAAGATCAGGGCACCAAAATGCTGGTTAAATCAATAAAACTTTAAAAAATTAACAAAAATTCAAGAAAAAGCAGATAAAAAGCAACGACATTGCCCATTCTGCCGTGCTAAGGAAGGACGGCGTATGAACGTTCAAGAGTTGTCAAATTTCCCTCAATAAAATGTTTATTTTTGAGGAAAGTTATGATTATTTTTCCTTGAAATTTTCAGGGACTTTAGGTAAAAAGTGTACACAAAAATATCTGAAAAATTGGAAGGAAAATGTTCATAAGTTTACCAAGAAATTCTTGTTTAATCGAAAGAAATTTGGCAACGCCTGAAAGTCTATACGGGGTTTTTCCTTCGCACGGTAGCATTAAACACGTAATTTTGAATGATCTAAAACGAGCTGATAGTCAATTTTTGGCGCTGCGAGCACCTTTCTAGGTTACCCTGCATCTTTACGGTCTTGGAACTCTTAAAATGCGTAAAAACGAAGAGTTGAAGGTGCTCTGTCATTTTGGATCCTCGCAACATAACCCCCCGCCGCCGCGCCCGCAGGTGAAGCGACGAATGCTTTGAGAGTCAAAACGCCTTCGCTTCCGTGCGTATGCAACATGGACATCCATAGAGCTCGAATAGTTGCATCCAGGCGTTATAATGAACTTCGCCTCAGTGTTCGTCGTACACGATACTAACAGCGCTTTTTCTACTTCACAATATATGATAATTATGTAACAGTTACTAAATAATAATAACATTATCTTTTATTCTTTAACAAAATGGGTACTTTTTGCACTCGAAAAAATCCTAAATTCATATGCAATTGTTTCACGTCCGTTACTTTTATAAGTCTTCATTTGAGAAATATATAACGATCGTGAAAATTCCAAACCATTAATCTCGGTTTGTGACTTTGCAGACTTCCTGTCATTCTTTATTTTTCGATTGAAGAACTACTCAACGTCAATTCTGTAAGACCCCTTTGATTTGTCTCCTATGTGCGAGGAATTTTTTTTTCGACAACTACCCGATAATGTTGATTTTTTTCGCTTTCGAAAAAAATAAAAAAAGGGGAGATTTTGAAACACCGCGGACGAGATACGAGGTTTATGGGAGTTTCACCGTCGATATCATGTTTTTTCTCTACCGTGCTAAGGAAGAACGCCGTATGAGCCTTCGAGAGTTGCCAAATTTCCCTTGATAAAACATTTATTTTTGTAATCATTCACGCATATTTTTCATTGAAATTTTCAGATATTATAGATTGAATTGCGCACAAAATTATCTGTACATTTTGGAATATAATATTCACAATTTCCCCAGTAATTTTGGTATTTATCAAAAGAAACTTGGCAACGGATGATGGCTCATACGGCGTTCTTCCCCAGTACGACAGTTCTGGGCATCCAGTGTTTATAATTACTCATTTCTTCTGAATGTTGAAAACTCTGCTTCCGGGGTAGTTTTGAAATAGAGCCAGGAAAGTAAGTGTTTCTTTTGTGATTTGTGTTATGACGCGGAATGTTATCATGATCACGAGGGTCAGCAGAATCACCCATATCAATGACGCAACGGGAACACCGTAACACGCACAGGAATGATTGGAACTTGCACTGAGCATAACACGCACGGTTTGACGTCAAAATTGATTGCTTTGACTGTTTGTCTGAATCATCCTACTTCGACAATGTCACATTTAGCTTTTACTTGCTTTTCAAAGCAAAATCGTCATTACTGTTTTCCATCTTTTTTTTTTTTTTTCTTTCTTTTTTTTTCGAAAAACACTTTCTGTTACGAGAAAAATGTACGCATTCATCCATTGAATGGACCACTAGACAAGGTACGAATTTCAGCACTCTGATACGTGTCTCTTCACCAAAATTTCACATAAAACACGATGCACACAACAAAAATTACCGAAATCAACTCCTTCAAAAGATATTTAATGGTTCTTGATGCGTGAATTCAAAACATGCGCTCATGAAAACTCAGTGCTCTACGTGATTCACATCGCGCGTTAAAATGAGCGTTATCATGAACACCTCTGCGATGAAAAAATCTGGCAACCTCAATCTTGACGCTTTGGCTCAGCTATAGCAAATTACTTATAGTTTGAAAAACACATGGTGGGAAATGAACATTGCTTGATTGAGAAGCTTGCTGGAACCGTTGTAGTGCCCGCTTTGACTCACGTAAAGCTTTGAGTTTCTTGTGAGCGGGCAGTTCAAACCCAATGTGAAATAAAAATGTTAATATCTCCGTTAGGAGTTGGTTTCAGTACTTTTCGTCGCGCGAATCGTGTTCTATGTGAAATTCTGGTTAAGAAACATGTAACAGAATCCTTAAATTCGTACCGTGTTTAGTGGTCCATTCTCAGAATACCGATTGCATACCGTTGGGAGCTCAAACCGAAAAATCACGGTAGACCNGGGGGGGGGGGGGGTAAGTGGATCTAATGGAGATGTTGCATGTGTGAGGAATTTGCGATTTGACTATTGATTCTTATGTAAAACGTCGCGAGAAACACGATGGTGCCACTGGTTTTCTCTAAAATCAACTCCCAAGCTCAAAAAAAGCTCACAAGATGAGGCCAAAATGGAGGGGATATCCCGCCCTACCCTGAGAGTCCACATCTACATCAAAACAAACTCTCCATGCAAAGACAGGGAGCAAATACATCAGCAGGGTTGCCGTGTTTTCAGTTTTGGAGTCCCCAAATAAAGTGGCAGCCCTGTTAATGTATTTGCTTCCTATCTTTGCATGGATAGTCTGTCTTGATCTAGAGGTGGAATGTCAGGATAGCGTGGGATATCCCTCCATTTTGGCCTCAACTTGAGAGCTTTGTTTGAGCTTGGGAGTTGATTTCAGAGAAAACCGCAGTGGCACCATCGTGTTTCTCGCGAACTTTTACAAAAGAATCAACGGTCAAATCGCAAATTCCTCACACATGCAACATCTCCATTGTTGGAAGATGCGAGGCGTCCTCAGAGTGTTGGGCCAGCGAGCGTAGCCCTTAGTACACACCTGCTTTCTTCTCGCGGTTCATGAGGACCCTTGTCTGGTACTTGATGGCCGGGTTGAAGAGCTGCGGATTGACGCTCACGAAAAGGGTTTTCCTCGTCGGCAGGAAGCGGATCATCTTGGCCGGTATGTTCGGCTTGCCCTCCGGCCCAGCCCTGGCCGGCCAGAGGGTGTAGAACCAGTGCCACGGGCGCATCACGGTCTTGCTCGTCGGAAACACCGACGTCACCACCACGTCGCCCGACGTCACCTTCAGCTCCGCGCCGAAGTCCTTCGTGAAGCGCGCGTCCATCGGATCGTTCACGTACTTGCGCCAAAACTCGTTCGCCGCCACCCCCGCAATGAAAGACTGGACCCCGCTCTCTGGAAATAGGTACGAATTTTTACGAAGCAGCCCGAGACATTGGTAACTAGAGTACCTGTATTCGGGAGAGTATTGCCATCTTAATCTTAATCCAAAAGAAAAAGTGTGCCGCTCAAATGGAGATGTTGCATGTGTGAGGAATTTGCGATTTGACTGTTGATTCTTGTGTAAAAGTTTGCGAGAAACACGATGGTGCCACTGATTTTCCCTGAAATCATCTCCAAAGCTCAAAAAAAGCTCTCAAAGTGAGGCCAAAATGAAGGGAATATCCCACTCTACCCTGAGAGTCCACCTCTACATCAAAACAAACTCTCTATGCAAAGATAGGGAGCAAATACATTAGCAGGGTTGCCGTGATTTCAGTTTTAGAGTCCCCAAATAAGGTGGCAGCCCTGTCAATGTATTTGCTCCCTATCTTTGCATGGAGAGTTTGTTTTCGTGTAGAGGTGGACTCTCAGGATAGCGTGGGATAGCCCCTCCATTTTGGCCTCGACTTGAAAGCTTTTTTCGAGCTTGGGAGTTCATTTCAGAGAAAACCAGTGGCCACATCCTGTTTCTCGCGAACTTTTACATCAGAATCAACAGTCAAATTGCAAATCCCTCACACATGCAACACCTCCATTTCTCAGATAATTTTGTTTGTAATTTGATCCAAAGAGTCTGAAAATTTCGAGGAATAATATTCATAAATTTCCTCAAAAATATACATTTCATCCAAGGAAATTTGGCAACTCTCCAATGTTCATATGGCATTCTTCCTTAGCACGGCAGAGTACCGGTATACGAGACAGTATTACCATCTCAATCCTTTCACTACAGAAAAAATGTGCCGCTCTCTGATTGGTCGGTTATCATGGATTCATGGTGCCCCAAAGTTGAACTAATGTTAACAAACCCCAGCCCCTCCGCTCCTAGTTTGGTCCAATGTAAATAAACAAGGTGACGACAAAGTTCTACAAAGTTCTAGACGCGATTTTGGATGTGATGGAAACTTCTTAATATACTTCTAAATTGCTTGGACTCCAGCTTTGATGGATCTTTGCGCCAAAAATTAACCTTTGAGTATGATTATCATTCATTTTACAGCCGGCAATACGTGTCCCTCTGGGTCGAGGTTGTTTACATTGGTCCAACTTTGGAGCTCCATGAAATCCTAAAACTGATGAACCAATCATAGAGCGGCACAGAGATGGCAATACTCTCCTGTATACAGGTACTTTAATAAAGGTAACAAGAGAAAAAGAAGGGGGAAAACAGGAAACAAGGCTAAAACACACAATAAAGACCCGAGACGTTTCGCCTCAAAACTGAGTCATTTTCAGTCGGAAATTATAAAAAAAACACGAGAACAAGGGGGTTATATGCACCAACGAATAAAATATTGATGGCGAATAATAACCAATCAAAAACACGCAAAAAAAATAATTTGCCGTAAGTCGGGTTTTTGACGTCATCCGCCGTGGTAGTGACACCCTTGGTTTCTTTTGCCTTTCTTTCATCCAAGTTTTACGTCAAATAATCAGTGCAAATGTGCGTCACACCGACCTTGCTTGGAAGCAAGTGAGAGGAAACGAAGGGTGTCACCACTGCGGTAGATGACGTCGAAAACCCGACTTATCAAACGGCAATATCAAAAACGTTTTCAAGCGAATCTTCGAAGATTTACCAGTCAGAAACGACATCAAGGCGAGAAGAAACTCGCTGAAAACGAGTTTTAGAACTCTACATAACCTGACGTTAGAGGCACGATGAGCTAAAAAAGACAACGGTTTTTGATACACCCGAAAATGAAGCAAAGACCGGACACTGGTCATTTCATTCTAGGTTACAGAGGAACGGGGAAGAATATAGGCGTAGCAAGGTAACGATTTCAAAGTCAGGGGAAGTACAGTTCCCATTACAATACGTTTTTCAAAATACCATATCACTTTAATGGTCTGATAAATGGTGGAGAAGAGCTTTATCCCCCACCTTCTGAAGCCAGGAGAAGGATGGACCGATATTAGACTCCTTTGGTGTATAGGTTAAATTTGCCCTTATTTTCCGATTTACCGTAGATCTCATTATTAATTTATTACGTAATCAAGGCATTTGCTAATGATTCAACGATCGGTCTACTGGTCTCTCGTACTCTTTAGGTATATTGTTTCTATGTCTATACCCTTCTCTGATTGGTTCATCAATCTTAGGCTTTTCATGGTGCTCATTAGAACCATAGGAATGTAAACACATTCGATTGGAAGGAATCAGATACTATCGAAATAGAAGTGAATGATGCGCAAAAAAAGTCTAACTCTCCATAAAAATACCCAGAAAAGTTTTTCAGAGCTTGAATCAGAAATTGAAAATTAGAGACTAACCTCGTCAGGTTTAGAACTCTTATCGCTATCTCGTTTTTTTACCTTGGTCAAAAACTAGGAGTGGAGGGGTCACTATGAAAACCTGGAACCTGCGTCGATCAATCAAAGAATATTGCACTCCTTTTCTACTTTAAAAAGATTATATTCTATTCGCCTTTCCTTATGTAAGTACTCAGAAAAACATGTAAAAGAACCTCTCTGAAATAAATAAATGATCTTGAAAGCTATTATCAATTCTATTCATATAATTTCAACGGTTTAGGTCCTTGTCTTCACAGGAAGTTTCATAGTATTTGTCCCAAAGTTTGAATCGCAGGAATGAAACTTCTGGGCTTTTGCCCCATCAAACAAAACAAAGCAATTTGTTCTCCTTCTCTCTGAGTCGCCTCTAGGACTCCACGAGGACTCTGTTTGATACTGTGCGTAATTTGTATGAAATTATGTGAATCATAATGCTAAAAAGTTAGAAGAATAAATTTAATTTATAGAGCCGAAGTTTTTTTCTAGTGATTCCTAGAAAGTGAAGTGAAAGTGATTGCTATCATTTTCAAGGCAAAAGAAAGAGGCACTATACATCAAGCGACAAAAGATACAAAGCAAGACGAAGGATAGAAGACATGGCAAAGTACATATATGAAAAAATCTGAAAACATTGTCAAAAACCAGAAAGTAAAGCCAGAAGGAAAACAATCGCTAGTAGCCAAGTGATAACAGGTAGTAACGAGTATGATCGAAACAAAATGATCGCAATGAACGAAAAGCTTCGGCTCTCTAAATAAAATTTATTCTTATACTTAACACTTGGGCGTTATGATTTACATAACTTCCTACACAACGTTTATCGGTGTTATCGTGATAATCATCACAATGTTCAAAAATATATTTAGTATTGACTGACTCAAATTTTCCTCAGCTTCACAATTATGATTTTTCCCTGGGAAAAATTCCATGGAACTTCCCGCGGAAACAAGGCCTAAGCTTACTTTGCCGTAAATATAAAGAGAAATCCAACAATAAGTACTAAAACGATTGAAATCATTCGCAAGTAGATTCACGGATATTATAAATCTAGCTAGATTGTTTTTTTTTCAAGGACACATTTCTTTTCACGACAATCTCGGGTGGCAACTTCAGTGGCGTGGCGTGAATTGCGATACTTATATCGATTGTTATGCCATTTAAACCTATGGTAAAGAATCGATTATTAAGGTGTTCGCTGCGAACACCCTGTTTATCGATCCTTTTTCATAGGTTTAAATAGCATAACAATCGATATATCGAAATTCACGCCACGCCCATGCAACGACTAAAGACTAAGCTTCCGAAAATTTGAAATTATGCGTGAAGTGGACTCAGCGAAGGAACGCCTTTTAATTAGTGGAGTTTAGCTTTTTCGAATGTAATCTACGTAAGTTCCTGCGATTGTTTGATGCAAAAAAGGCGTCTCAAATGGATGTATCTCCTGGATGGAGTTGGTTCAATGAGGCGTTGGATGCAGCCTATCCCGAAAATTAATCTTTAAAGCTTTTTCAATACCTCTAAACCTAGCATGTAACCACATAAGAAACTAACAGTGAAAGCAAATCTCTTATTTCCGCAAATTCGAGGTATACGGTTCATAATACGAAAATATGCAAATTCCCATACGAATAATATATGTGCATGCATTTGTTCTCAATACCCCTATTAAGATTAATGAGCCTGGAAGACAAGTAGGATAAGTTCAGTTTTTGAATGAATAGGATATATTAATGATTTCAACTAATACTGGTCTTAAGATATGTACTCTGGGAAAAATTCAATGCTAAAATTCAATTTTCAAGTATCAAAAAGTAAGCTTGAACTTGCAACCTGCCAAATAAGGCTCCATGTTATTTTGAAACTTCAAACACGAATCTCTTGAAATAGCAAAGACATCACTTAGTCCACTTGTCCTCCAAATTCCTCAACCAATACTATTCAGTTACCTACTTTTTTGTGTGTTCGAATTTCGATTACTTATAAAATCCACCCCAGCCATTACTAAGCCAGCAGAACAGTCTGTAAACAAAAACATATGACCCGCTTCTTAACTGCAATATTCGAATATGCGTTTTACAACTAAGATCACCAAAAACTTTTTAGCTTTTTAAATCATGATGTGATTTATATTGGCCGCACCTCAAGATAACTTCAATACAATATGTGTTCAGAAACCCTTTATTATCACTCGAGGTTTCCAGGATTTGTGTATAAAAATGGAAACTTTGTATGAAATGCGCCAAAACCGATAAAAATGACGAGTGTCTGAAGAGTTTACTACTCAAAGAATTTCCTCACATCAGGTTCCCATGAGGACATTAATTTTTTGAGAGTTTTGTCAAAATATTGTGATCATGGTTCTAGACAGGAAAAACCTTGTAGTGTTTTTAATGCCCGCAAAAATAAGTTGTAAACAATTAAGTTAGTTTTTCATCATCAGAAGGCGTAACATTGTAATTTAACCGTCCATTTTAAGCTTGAACGTGCAGATTGTTGCGCAGATTGTTAAACTTTGAATATCTTCCATTACGATCCTTGTAGAATCCAATGTAAAGTTTGCGAATAAAAACCCTAGTTCTTCGAATTGCAAAATTGGAGTCGTTTGGCCGCTAGTGTCGTTTGACGTTTTTGGGCGTTTTTTGCGTGGAAGTGATCGTTTAAATATCCTCTAGTTATGGCGGTTTTTACATTCACTTTTAATTTTTTTTTCTTTTTTGGCTCCTGCCCGAGAATGACATCCATGCAGATGTCTATCACAAATCGCTGGTCAAAGTGCAAAACCACGTTTCTCCGTTTCCAACGTCGCACACTTCCTGCCATACTTTTTTTTCATCGGAAAGATAGTCGACTTAATTTCTTGAAAACTGCCTTGATTTTCTCCTTATTAGCAGGATATTCGGGAGAAATTCAAAGTTATATCGTTGAATTGTTCCTCTTCGAAAAATAAAATAGAGCGGAGAAACACCTCAATGAAGATGCGTAGTTTTGCACTTTAGATATCGATATAGGGCTGTCCATAAATGACGCGAACACTTTTTCAGATTCGTCGGCATATCTGGTTTCCCATCTAACCCTCCTTTAAATTGATTTGTAGGGCATTCGTGGACTCGTAGTCTCTATAAATAACTGATATAATTTATTAACCCCTATTCATTTCTTCAGGAAAATGAATATCGGTCCATGATGGCAAAATTATTAGTAGAAACACTTTTATCAAGTTGCGTCCAAAATTTGACTTTGAGATTTTGACAGTAGGACCCTTTCCAGCCCCCCGAACAGGGAGTTGCAAGTTCTCGTCCTTCAAAGTAAAAATGGATTCTGTAAAGTTGCATTTAAGTTAGACAATTTTTTACTCTGAGCAATACAAATTAGAATGGGCCAGTTGCGCTGGTAACAAAATCGTGATTTGATGCTTGATTGTTGTAGATTAGCTAAAATTAAGAAAATCTGTCCTATCAGCCGGTGCACGACGTTTGCGCACACTTTTCGTACCGATAACGTTTGCGCACAAAATTCCGAATTTTCATTTGCGCACAGTTTTACCGATAACGTTTGCGCACACTGCACTATGTGGCAACGCTGCATTATACGGAGCATATTTATACGCACGCATTGTTTAAAACCGAACAGAGGGGGCGAGTAAACGAGTGATGAAACAGAAGTGAGTGAGTTTGAGAGTGTGTGTGAGGTGCTTATTTCCACATGAATTATGTAAAAAATAGTTAAATTAATTGAATAAATAGTATTGGCTATACTTACAGATTTTTGGTTTTACTTTCGCCGGAAGAAAATGCCATCGTCAGAGTCGTCTGAACTGGAGCCAATAGTATTCTCAGGATGGCTGGTGGGTGGTTCATGAAAGGAAATACTCTCGCCGGAAGAAAATGCCATCGTCAGAGTCGTCTGAACTGGAGCCAATAGTATTCTCAGGATGGCTGGTGGGTGGTTCATGAAAGGAAATTTCTTCGTCCAGATCGTCTTCATTGAAGGAGTCTGAACTGGAGCCAATAGTATTCTCAGGATGGCTGGTGGGTGGTTCATGAAAGGAAATTTCTTCGTCCAGATCGTCTTCATTGAAGGAGTCTGAACTGGAGCCAATAGTATTCTCAGGATGGCTGGTGGGTGGTTCATGAAAGGAAATTTCTTCGTCCAGATCGTCTTCATTGAAGGAGTCTGAACTGGAGCCAATAGTATTCTCAGGATGGCTGGTGGGTGGTTCATGAAAGGAAATTTCTTCGTCCAGATCGTCTTCATTGAAGGAGTCTGAACTGGAGCCAATAGTATTCTCAGGATGGCTGGTGGGTGGTTCATGAAAGGAAATTTCTTCGTCCAGATCGTCTTCATTGAAGGAGTCTGAACTGGAGCCAATAGTATTCTCAGGATGGCTGGTGGGTGGTTCATGAAAGGAAATTTCTTCGTCCAGATCGTCTTCATTGAAGGAGTCTGAACTGGAGCCAATAGTATTCTCAGGATGGCTGGTGGGTGGTTCATGAAAGGAAATTTCTTCGTCCAGATCGTCTTCATTGAAGGAGTCATTTTCAGCTCCCGAGTCATTTTTTGAGTCTGATGCATCTTGCTTCGCATATTTCACATCACGGATCATTTCAAGGAACTCCATTATATCGAGGTCTTTACTTTGAAAAGCACTGGTCAGCACAATAACTTCATCATCTTTCGTTTGTTGAGCCTTGCGTTTATTGAACAACTCGCCATTCCGTACGGATTTTATTTTTAAAGAAACAATAGTCTGGGCCTTAAAAACTTGGTCAGTTGCTTCGTACACACTTGGATGGTGGTAATAAAACTCGCCTTGAAGTTTACTATTGAAGCCCTCAACCCCATTAGTCGTTGTGCAAGAATCTTGTGTAAGAGGGCTGGCCCACAGATGAGGGGGGAACATCTTCGAGTTTATGTAATTTTTTCGAATGTAAGCAACAAATGCAGAGGCGCCACTTACATGAGGAGTAGCACTGGCCAACTGCTCAAATGCAGCAGGGACATCATTGGCGGGCAGATAAGACAAAGAGAAGAATAGCTGTAACCATGATTGAATCTCTAACTGCTCTCCTTTTTTTTCTGACCGAGTGAATGCATATCGTAGCACTGGATATTTCTGTATCCGCCGCCACCAGCTTTGCCCCAGATGAAATCTGCAGCCCCTAATCGTTGCATTAGGGAAAGCTACTTTAGCGGCTTTGTGAGCGGAGGATTCGAAGTCAAGTAGGAGAAGTTTAACGTTCAATTCTTTACCAGTGTGTTTAACACACATTTGTTTCAATAAATCCCACATAGCTGAGTAAGTTTCTGCCGCTTTTGAGGGGAGGAAGAACGTGGCAACATGCAAATAAAAGCCACGATGGAACACGTGGATTGTATAAGTTTGTTTGAAATGCTTGGGAGCATAAGTGAATGTTCCGTCTCCCAAAATAACATCATCGAAGTCGACCAAAAATTGCAGGTTTTCTTTACATGTTACGGCGACAATCTGATGTTTTTTATCAACTCTAATAATCTTTTCATCGGAAGAGGTTACCGTACTGGCCATCCCGTCCAAAGCCCCATCAATGTTCTTTGGTACGGGTTTCTTCAATTTTTTTCTAGCGCGATAACTGGACTGTGAAAGGGACGGTAGGTCAGAAAATGTTACCTTTTTTGAATTCTCAACCTCATGGCGTATCAATTTCAATGGTGGTTCATTTAGATTTTCGGTTGCTTTTCTCTTCAGACTGGTTCTTATAAGCTGCAGCTCGATTTCTTTATCACTTGGTGGAGCATGTTGCGGTCTGTGTTCCTTGTTGGTCGTTTCAAGCAAAGTAGTCATCGGTACATCTGTTTTGATCGTAGCCCGGCACTCTTTTTTCGAACACCGCCAATGTATATTTTTTTTTTTAACGCGAAATTGTCGGAATTTATAGCCTTCGACTAGTATCATTGGTTTGCCTTTATTGCTTCTCATTATCTGAAAGCCCGTATCAGAACTCATTTTATTAAATTTTAACTGAAATACACTCACACACACTTGCGAATAAAGGAATAAAAACGGTTTAAAATATGCTGTCAAACAACTCACGATTATTAAAAACGATTATTATCATTAAAACTGTTTAAAACTCGAGCTAAAACACGTTAAAAAGTTGCACATTAAAACAATTTAAAATTCGGCACTGTGTTGACAGCAACGGTCCGCAGGTTACTGAGTTACTCCTTTCCAGACACACCTCTTCCTCCTTTTGTCGTGGACCTTCCTTATCACAACACGATAATGCACCTCGCCGACAATAACAAACCCGGGCCCGGTGTCCGGGTGATTCGCGTTGCGTAGGTGCAGCGTTGCCACATAGTGCAGTGTGCGCAAACGTTATCGGTAAAACTGTGCGCAAATGAAAATTCGGAATTTTGTGCGCAACCGTTATCGGTACGAAAAGTGTGCGCAAGTGTCGTGCAGCCCTATCAGCAACTTTCAACGTTGAATATTAACCGAGATATCGTCCTTTGAAAATTCGGATTTTCGACGTCATCCACCACCATAGTGCTGTAGTACATAGTATGTGCTACCGCGGTGGATGACGTCATGAAACGAGTTTTTCAAGGTGCCATATCTCGGTTAATATTCCACGTAGAAATTTGTTGTTTGGACGGATCTTATTATTTTTTGTTGATCTGCCAGAATAAAGCATCAAAACACGATTCTGTGACCAGCGCAACTGACTCATTGTAGGAAACTTTCCTTAAAACTATGTTTTTTCTAATTTGAACTGGAAATTCAAAGCGTCAAAACTCCATTTTGGATTGAAATTTTTAACATGTCTCGTCTCAAAATGCTCGTACAAGACTATTTTCTATATTCTACTATCGAAACAGGGTCGGACTGACGCACCTCTGAGGGCGCAGACCCTTAGCCGGCGAAGGGGGCGCAATGTGATATTTCGCTCAGGAGTGTGAAGGAACAATCCCCCTCTCTCGGTGGGGCCGGAATTTTTTAAAAATCAAACTCTTCTAAGTAGAATTTTGACAATATTTTCAGGTTCGAAGTCAATTAATCTTACAGAGGAAAATTCTGGAATTGAATTGAATTTCAAATGGCAAGGGTATTTCTTGACTTCAGATATGGATTCTACGAAAAAAAATACGTAGAATTGGTATGGCGTATTGCCTGTTTGCTTCAATTTTTTTTTTCGCTCCTTTTTTTCTCCAAAAATACACGGCTTCTTATGGGGAAATGGGGTTCTTCAGTAATTAACTCCTATTAAAGCTTCTCCCGTTTACTTATAATTTTTAGGCATTTTTTCTTTACTTTTCTTCTTTTCTCCTTGCTTTTTATTTATAATTCTTTCCTTTTTCTCTTCTTTTTTCCCTTTTTTCCTTTCTTTTTTTCTTTGCTTCTTTTCTTCATTTTCTTTATTATTATTCTAGTGGCTGGAAGAGGGGCGCGCCTTTGGCGCGCTGAGGGGGGCACATCTGCCAATGGCAGATTGGCCTTATGGTCAGTCCGACCCTGTATCGAAAATTCAATTTCAAGATCTCGCGGTTCAAATTTCAATTTGCGTTCATGATTGCTTACATGAAAATATGGCTAACACTTAGTTATTCACACTCACCTGCCAGCGGAGCTAAACGCAGGATTAATACCACACAGAAACCGGAGCTGAAAAACCACAACCTTACGTTCATACTAACAGGAGGAAAAGGTTATGCTTTAATGTTCTAATGTATTTTACAAACTTGTGAGACTTTTAAAACTTTGTTGATCCGATTGGAAAGAGAAGTTTCTCCCTTCTGCTTCGTTCACCAACTCGCGTGCTTTCAATCGTGTTTCACTATAGTGGTGACACCGACATAGGAGAGGTTTTTTTTGAACCAACGCAAATCCGCAAATGGCGTCACAGTTCTGAGTGTGCGGTGCAACAAAAAATGCAGATACTTTTGAATCGCATTTAGCAAAAAGGATCCAGCGCGGTTACAGTGTTGTAAAAATGTTGCCTCTTCATGGTTATCTACAAAATCCATCAGAAAAACAAATAGTTTTTGGTGCCCACCAAAAATTGTTGACTTTGAAGGAAAATAGTTGTATAAATTTCGATACTGTCCATATATTGAGTATTTTTTTTAAAACGGAAAAAGAGGTTGCATGATTTTGAAATCACTGTAATCGCGCTGGTTCCTTTTTTCGAAATGCGATTCTTTTCACCACTTTACATTTATGTGCTCGTGGTAAAATGTATGTTCTTGGAAAGGTAGAATTCATTGATGAAGCATTTGTCGCTGTATATATTGGCGGTGTAGGTCGGCAATCACATAACTCGGTTTGCGACGTCGCAGACCTCCTGTCATGCTTTATTTTTGAAAAGGAAAACTACTCAACGACAATTCTTTAAAACTGCCGTGATTATTCTTCTCTGCGCGAAGAAGAATCTGCAAAAACTTCAAGGAATGATATCAATTTGTTCTCCTTTAAAAAAATAACATAGAGGTGGAGATTTTCAGATACCGCAAACGAGATAGTTGATTGCGGACTTACGCCGCCGTCGATATGATGAATTGTGGAGTTTTTGCGTACAACTTATTCAGAAACGAGAATGCGCTCAAAAAAATCGTATGATTTCACAAAAACTGACAAAAAATTACTTCATCTGAAGCAGTTGATTGCGTTTTTTCTAATCTAGTAGCACTCGGTGGTCAAAAAAAGCCAGTTCTACGATCAAAATGTGGAAAATTCTCCTCACTATTGCATTGTTTAAATTTGGCAATACTTGATGTGACTTTTTCCATTCTGCTGAACGCGGTCCACTTATCCGAAAATAGCATTTTTTACCGCGAGCAATGTAACTTTCAAAACGTGAATGTCTCCTTTCAGCCGGAGGAGTGGAATTTTTCCCGTCCGTCGAGAGATGCCCCCAAAAATAAAGAGGCAAAACCGCCTAAGGCCCAGAGCATCGAGCTAATGAATGATTGATCGTTTTGCGGTTCGTGCGCCCGATAACAACGGCGCGTTCCTTGAGTTGCTGGACCGGCACAGACCTTCATTAAACTCAGCCTCTGTCTGACGCCCGCTTCTCCTGCCCCCCTGGACCCCCTCTAGCCCCCTTCCCCGAACCCCCATCCCTTCCAATAGGGCCTGCTCCTCTCGTGTGTACGTCAGAAACATATCTGTTCCCAGCTTGGCGGCATAGTTCTCTCAGTGAATATGATGCACGTCGTTGTCAAATTGTGCGGGCAGTAAGAGGATGGTGGAGCAAGTAAGTTGACGACACTTAATCATCTATCTACGGGTCGATTCTTAAAATTGGTGAACAAAGCTATAAACAACGAAGACATACAGTCGTGTATGACAATAGTTGTAGGGCCGACTATTTGTTGGCCATAAAATGCCTTTTTGTGTCGAGATTTTGGTTATGGGGTCAGGAAGAATGGCCCCACAACCATGAGGAGGCAGTACAACCATAGGGAGGCCCCACAACCATAGGGAGGCCCCACAACCATAGAGAGGCCTCACAACCTGAGAAACGTACGCAGAGACCCCACATCCATAGGGAGGCACCACAGCCATAGGGAGACCCCATAACCATAAGGAGACTCCACGACCATAGGACGGCCCCACAACCGTAAGAGGCCCCACGCCCCACAACCATAGGAAGGCCTCACAACCTCAGAAATGTGCGCAGAGGCCCCACAACCGTAGATCATACGATCCTAAAAAGGATTTGGAGGGATAATATTGGAGGACGCGGGTGGTTGCAATGGACATAGGGGGTGGGTAATAGACTAACGAACGGCAACCCACGAGAGATCCTATAGTTACTATAAGAACCACCCATTTCAACCAATAGGGTCCCCCTACGTCTTCTTGGCTGTAGCTTGGTCAATCCATTTTAACAATCATGCCCGCTGGATTGCATACCACCTGGGACAAGACGATGGGGACGTCCCATGCTGGAATGACAGCAGCAGGGTGTTGACGAAGAAATATTGCGTTGTTAGTTGCCCGATTACCCCTGGGAAGATAGGCACGTGTGGCGTTTGGGTGTCGCAGAACGCACGAGTGTATTGCAGGAGCTACTTTTGTGTATATATTTCTCACTGCATGCTTAAGAGGTCCCAGGTTTGTTTCCCTGTCAGGTGATTTGAATCCGATGGTGCATCAAGTCCCCGTCAACGCCGACCAACGCGTCTGTCGATCGAATCAACTACAGGTAGTATGAGCAGGGAATCAAAACGCCTTCAACTTTTTGAACGCAATACGGACATCCGTCGAGGTTGTATAGTTGTATCAAGGCGCCGTAGCAAGCGCGTCCCATTGTTTATCGTTACAGACGAATATAAGTTGAGAGAGGAAAGTCACAATGCCTCCAATTTTATACATACAGATTTTTGGGCAAAATGAGAGACTAAGTTTCTCCATTTGCGACGTTGCAGACTCTCTAAGAAATTTTATTTTTCTTTCGAGAAGCTGGTCAACATAAAACTTAAATTCTCCGTCATTTTTCGTATTCGATAGCAGAAGATTTGATTTAAACTCTAAAGTCGTAAATTTGGATTGTTTCTCCTGGAAGAGATGAAAAAAGACCGGAAATTTTGAAACACCGCAATGGAGATACGTGGTTTCGCACTTCTGTCGGTGCTATACGGACATCCATCAAGTTCAAATGGTTGCATCAAGTCCCCGTCAGCGCCGACCAACGCGTCTGTCGATCGAATCAACTACAGGTAGTGTGAGCAGGGAGTCAAAACGCCTTCAACTTTTTGAACGCAATACGGACATCCGTCGATGTTGTATAGTTGTATCAAGGCGCCGTAGCAAGCGCGTCCCATTGTTTATCGTTACAGACGAATATAAGTTGAGAGCGGAAAGTCATAATGCCTCCAATTTTATACATACGTATTTTTGGGCAAAATGAGAGACTAAGTTTCTCCATTTGCGACGTTGCAGACTTTCTTAGAAATTTTATTTTCCTTTCGAGAAGCTGACCAACATAAAACTTAAATTCTCCGTGATTTTTCGTATTCGATAGCAGAAGATTCGGTTCAAAATCTAAAGTCGTAAATTTGGATTGTTTCTCCTGGAAGAGCTGAAATAAGAACGGAAATTTTGAAACACCGCAATGGAGATACGTGGTTTCGCACTTCAGTCGGTGCGATACGGACATCCAGGATCATCTGAGGCTTTCTTTTGGAGTATGAAGCACATGATTAGCTAGTTGTAGATGTTTTTTCAAAATGACTTACAAAAAAAGTGCTGCACGATATTTCCTAAAAATTTCGAAGGGGTTAGAGCTAGAGGGGCTTATTTGCATTGCAAAGTCGTAGAATTTCTCCATAATCATTGACGAGAATTGATCATTCAAAAGGTTCATCGCGTCATATTTCACGGAAAATTCATTATATGGGGAAAACTTTTGCGACATATCGTCACCTTCCAGGCAAAGTATCACAAGCGCCATGCGACGTTTAAAAATTTCCGCCGCCATTTTATTTTTTTACAGAGAAATTGTTCAACGAAGCTGTCCGAAATCTTCACTGAATTTTCTTTGTGCTGCCGATAAAATTTAGTGAAATTTCCAAACAGATTCAACCAACAATTTCTCAGTAAAGGAATAAAATGGCGACGGAAATTTTTAAACGTCGCATGGCGCTTGTGATACTTTGCCTGGAAGGTGACGTTATTTTGCGTAAAATGAACAACTTATCAAATGAAACTTTGCAACGTTCGAAAGGAATTTAACTCTTTTGGTTCTCGGTTCTTCAGTTTTACTTTAAACGACCGGATTTTCTTCCCCAGGAACGCAGGAACTATCGTGGGAATAGTAGATAGACCACAAGTATTGCTAAAACCTGAACAGCGTGATCACTGCGAACACGTCACAATATGACGTCAAAAGCTTACGTTAAAAATGTTTACAGTTCGAAGCTTGTCAATGAGGCATTTGGACAATTTCACCTAGTGCACAATTGAAAACAACCGTCATATGAACTGTAGACCAAGCAAGGACTTTACGTCACGTCAGCCTTTTTACTAAAAGTCTGATAGCATCTGCGTCAGCTCTACTACGCGGAATTTAATGCAGCTGAAAAATGCGTACCGTACCGTAATGCTCTCTAGAAATATTTTCCTGTACTAAAGAGCTTATTCACCTTCAAAGTTGATTCAACCCAAAATCTGCGTCGTTTTTGTGATGAAAAAATTCCAGATGTCAAAGTGGGCTAGTGACAAGGCGTGAATGATCGATTATCGATATTTCCGCATTTGAAACTATGGTAAATAATCGATTATTAAGGCGTTCGTTGCGAACACCGCGTGTTTATCGATCCTTTTCCATAGGTTAAAATGGCAGATCAATCGATTTATCGCAAAGCACGCCACGCAACTGCATTCGTGTGAGAAAAGTGAGCATCAAAAATATCACTAAAACAACATTAAAATACATTTTAGACGTGTTAATACAGTGGACTCTTGATAATTCGAAATTGAAGGGAATCGGCTTTTTCTTCGAATTAGCGAGGTTTCGAAATTAAGAGAGTTCGAATTAAAGAGAGTCATGTGGAGAAATTTCGAATTAGAGAGGTTCGAACGTAGAGAGGCAAATGGACGGATTTACGTCAAAAAGAACCAAAAATATCAGTTTATTTCTTTAGGGCGGTAAAAATTACACTAAGTTATTATTAAGTATTAATTATTTATATTTAATTTTAAAATTATTAATTACATGTTTACATTTTGACAATCCTATCAGCTCTTTCAGACACCCAGGTACATAAACAGTTGACTTCGAATTGTAGGGGGAATGTACCGTCTTATT